GTTTGTGTTGAATCTGAGAGGGGAGTTGAAGGGGTATCATTAGGTTCATGAGGTTTAGATAATGATGATGTGGTTTGAGTTGAATCTAAGAGAGCAGTTGAATTAGTTTGGTGTGAAATGTGAGCACATTCTGATTCTTAATCCAATGGTTTTACATTTGGAGCAACTGAATCCTTCTATGAAGAGAAATACCTGGTAGGAAGTATTATCATGAGTTATGGTAAAAAAGTCAGGAATAGACATATTTTCCAGGGGTGTAATGAATGATTGCTTTCTAAAGCTCAGAACATGACTGTACTCACTTTCAGATATACCTACTTGAATAAAAGTCATTTTGGATACAGTGTAAATACCAAGTTTTTGTAATTCTTGTTCAATTATTTCGTGTGAGATTGTAGGACATGCATTAGATATTAGAAGTCTCTGGGCTGGAGAAATTAATCTTCTTACTTCGACTTGACATCCACTTATTTTGATATATTTATAAGAATGAAGAAGAGCATTAACAGTGTTTTTGAAGAGAGGTATATGCATATCCTATTGTTAGCAATCCCCAAACCCACTAGTAATCCAACAGCTACGATGTAATCATAGATTTTTGTACCTTCAATGCTGGAAGTGAGAATGCTTGTTGTTTTGTTGGATCTTCTTCTTAAGGTGCCTTCTCAATTACTGAAGGTTGGCTATAACTACAGCAAATTGCTCTCTATCTTGATTTTGTTGGATCTTTAAAATAATTTATGACATCTAAGTAACTGTGTTTAGTGGAGTTGGGTGTAGTATTATTGTTGTATGTTGTTGTAAGTCATTTTATTAATTTTCTTGATTAGAAGTTGAGCTGGTCATGTTGCTGGTCCAAAAAACTGGTCAAGACCCAACTGGAATTTTTGTTATCTCTTTAAATGGTATTATTTAAAGGTTATTTTGTTGTTGTTACAAAAATAATACAAAAAGAAGTGCTACTCACTTGAGATAATATTCAGAACTAACTAATGCACTTAAATTTGTAGTAGAGGTATAAAATATTAAATTATGATTTGTTTTTACCATTTAAAATGAATATATTTCGGTACAGCTGATAACATGGTATATTTGATCGCTATCAGGGCCGAACTCCCAAGTTTAATTATGTAACCAAATTTATTTTACTTGCCCACTGTCTAACATTCTTTTTTCTTAATAAAGAATATAACGTTGCACCCCCAGCATCCAAAGAAAGTACTTAAACGTAATCTTCAATTGTCCACTTATTTGTTCTTAAGTTTTTAATTTTTTAAATGTCCTAGTAAAAATTTGATCAATTGTACTTTTTTCTCCTTTTCTCTTCTTATAAGTTCCTTCAATTCTTCATTTTCAGTTTGCAAATTCTTTATTTGTTCCTTGGTTTTTCTGACTATATCGTTTTCACTGAAATTAAAAAATATTTTTAAGTAGACTATAACTATTAATATAGATTTTAAAAATAGGTTGTTACTCTTACATTTCAGTTTGGGAAGTGATATCCTTAAATTTTTGGTCGCGAGTATCTTCTACTGTTTTGTTTGCAATCTCATCTGATATATTTGATATTTCTTGATGTAGTTCATTTGTGATTTCTCTGTAATAAAAGTTGTTAAATATTTAAACAAGATATTTTACTACCACATTTCTATTAAAATGGCCATTAGTACCTATATAAACATTTACTCTGCTGTTAAAGTGTGTATAAAACCAAAATACTCACATGTTTTTCAATACATTTCTTTTCACTATTTTTCTTTTGCATCTATTTTTGTGCAATGCTTTAGCGCTTGGAGTTTTTATTAAATGAAGAGAAGGTATGGCATCATTTCTTAACTTCCACTGTTTGTCAGGCAATCCCAATAGTTTTCCTTTTAAATCATAGTCAGCTTCTGTAAAATGTTTTGAGCATATTCTCGCAGTTTTTACATTAAATGTGTCTCGCCGAAAACACTTGGAGACCCACACTTTACGTATTTCTTTGTCTCTAGGAAACACAAAAAAACGACACTTCGAAAAAGTTTTACTTCTTTTATTATTATTGTTTAAACAACCCGCCACTGCACAATACATTGGGGTAAACAAAAAATTAGTCTTCCTTATAAAGTAGGTACACCTAGGTGACAGCAAGTTGCAAACAAATTAGTTGATATTGATAATTATTATAACACAGTCAACTGAATGTTTTCACCACAAAATTTGTATAACCAACATAGATTAAGTATATAATATAAGTAGAGATAACCACATCATAGACCATAGATAAGAGCATAGGGTTAGGTTAGGTCACTTTTATTTACCAATTGTTCACAGTTCACAGCACAGACAGAGGTAGGTGATTTGTGAATTAGTTCAAATTCACTTTAACCACAGCCACCTTTACTTCCAAGCCATGAAGTAAAAAAGGCAACACCGCATTCTATGACGTCGGTAGTCCGATAATCAGCTGTAAGGTCTACCAGAATATTAAACTAATTTGAATTTTAGGAAACTGTTAATTACAGAAATATTTTTAGGGAAATTAAATTAATAAAACCTTATATATATACCTAGTAAATATATATAAAGTTTTATTATTATTTAGGTTATATTATCAATAAAATAATCACTAGAGTAAAATTTATTGCACTTAAAATACAGTGTCAAACAGTTAATCTTACAATCAAATGCAGTCAAGAATCACTAGAAATTTTAAGTATTTTAAGTACTTAAGCATATAAATAACACAAAACATTAACAGGGCATTTAAAAAGATTATTAAAAATACAAAAGATATAAAATATGCAATAAGTAAAAACTTAGTGTAACTATTATGATTAAAAAATTCATCCTAAGAAATCAGACACAATATAAATATGGTTCTAAATTAATCTAATTGAAAATTAAATATTTTACTATTTACTTATAACTTTTGTTGAATTTTCATACTTAGATATACAAAAGTAGCAATTTTAAATATTAATAGGTTTGTTGTCATATAGACCAAGTTAAAAGAGGTATACATGAAAAATGTGTTGAATGTAACATACCATTTATAACTTGTATATCGATTTAAAATAGCCTATATTCTCAAAAGATTTTTGAATGTAATACTCAAATTTGTTATCACTTATCTAAAAAGCAAATCTAATCGAATAAGTAAGTTCTCTAATTGTGACCATCTTGTTAATTTACTATATTGTAAAATCCATTTCAAATCATTACCACTTAATCTATTCTTACCTACATTGACGATTACAGGATTACACTAAAATTACTGCTAACTATTACACTACATATTACACAAATATTATCACACTTGTGTCCCAACTGATTAATGTTTAATACATAGAAATATACACAATCACTTGTAATTTTACTTGTCCAGTTTTTCAATGGGATATTATTGTCTAAGTCTAATTAACATAATTATGTTATCTCTTGTTCCCTCTTCTTATGCACAAAGTTTCTTCTGTCTTCGGGATTCCTTCTTTCTTTAGTACGATGAACAGTTACATATGATGATTGATGGTACTTCAGGAAATATATTAGGAACTGCATTGCCTTTTAATTTGGGAAATATTAACTTTTCAATGTGTACATTTCCATCTTTATCTTCTCATTGTTCAGTCCGCTGAATACCATCTTCATGAAAAAGTTTGGCACATACTATGGAAGATTTGGTAATTGTACAGCCTTCTCTATGAATAGAGATTGGTTTTGCAACCAGGTACACAACAATGCCAGAGCATCTGTAACAAAAAACAAAAGTATTATTATTGTTGTTTTTAGTTTACATATTTTGTAACAAGAAGCAAAAGTATTATTATTTTCAGTTTGTTTTGTAGGTTATATTTATACTTGCCTGTCGTTAAGAATCTTCTAGAAGTGCTAAATTTAATGAAATTTCACTTATATTAATATTTTCTAATTGATTTAAACACAATTTACAAATAAAACATTCGAATAAAGTTAAAAAACAATAAATTCAACAAACTTTACAAGCCTTCCTATATGAAATGTTAAACCAAAACAAACCACAAACGGACTACCACGCGTTGTTGCCAAATTTCTACTTCATGGCTTGGAAGTAAAGGTGGCTGTGCTTTAACCAATAGCATAGCATATACTTCATCTAATTTAGATAACGACTTACGTCATGATCTACGTCAGAGATCGAAGTTGACATAGTTGCTAAAGTATAAAAAAATCCTGACTCCATTTTAAATCAAATAGATCACATAATTATTGCAAAAGTATTACCATCGCTTTACAATGACTATTTAAATTCTTACGTGACATTTTTGAAATAAAACACACTAATTTTGTTCTAAAAGAACAAATTTTATTAAATAGGAAAAAATATAAAACAAGAGATATTCATTTTAAAATTCAAAATAATAAAGTACAAAAAGTGTCAACACCGCAACTGTCAAGTAAGTGTTACCAATTTATGCCAAAATTTTACCTTCGTTCGATTACAGTTACAGTGTGTTCCGAACAAATGTTCTTGATAAAAACGCTTTATAATGCATTTATACAAATTAAATGAAATATATTATTGTGTATTTCTTTAAGTTAACACTAATAGAAATTTTTAAATATTATTTCTACGCGTATATAATAAAATATGTCTAGTGGCTGTAATGCCAGTGTACTCGGTAAAGTGATTCTAAAAAAGAACACACCTACCGCATAAATATTTCGTGTTGGTATCATGTGACGTCACAAGCTATGACGCCTATGACGTGCATCGTTATATAAATTAGATGAAGTGTAGATAAATAAGAAATGTAATAGAAGTAATGTAATAGAAATGTAATAGAAGAAAGCAAATCAATAATGACCAATAGTATAAAATGAAATTTCATTTCATTAAGCTTAAAGCAGTGATAGCACTAGAATCTAGATTTCCGAGGGATAGTAATGAAATGACGTAGTATACATCCAAGTATGAAAAATTGCCTGTTGAGTAGTTCAAATATCTATCTTTGAAATTTGTACAATCTACAATCCACCAACCAGCACCAACATAAAAAATCTAAACGTCACTTGCTAATCATAAAATATGCACAAAATATGTACAACAGATAAGTAGTACTAACTTTTTCAGAATGAAACAAATTTATTTGTATAATCTATTATGGCTGGAGAAAAATCACAAATTGAGAGAATTATTGAAGAAATAAATTCGACAAATGCAAAGAAGGTAGCTCTTGTTCTTGTGATTGGATTTGCTTGTTATCATGGAATATTACACTTGAGATTTGGTATGTTAATAATCCCATAGTATAAGCATTTAAATAAAAATATAATGATTTTTAGGTACCAACTCTTGTAAGTGGCTTTTATCTGATGGAAGGTATAAAGCAGATAAAGAATGGCAGCCTTATGGGTGTATGCTACATCTCTACACTAACAGGTAAATATTTGTTTTTGCTTAAATCATTAAAGGTGTACCTATAGATTATTTTATTAAAGATGAGTAATTATCATTGTTAAATTTATAATAAACTTAATATGTTTATTTACCAGTAAACAATATTAACATTCAATATATACTGGTCAATAATGGTGAATATAAAAATGGTTTTAGAAAGACAAACAAATTTGATCTACACAATAGATTAAAGAATTATTTATCAGCAAGCAATAAAACAATTTCGAAAAGTATTATACCTCCCTAAATAAAGGTATATTCTTAATCATAAATTAAATGTTTTTATTACATGCCTACTTCTGGAGGCAATTACCAAAATTTCCATTATACACTGGATCCATTGTTGGTACTTATAAATCTTAAGTCTTAGTAGTATTTAAAGTATATTAAATAAAAAAAGAAGCAAAAATGTTCTTTTATTAAACTAAACATTGAAATTTTTGAATACGATAGAGGTTGTATGTGAGAATGAAATACCAATTTAAGAATTTTTTCAAATAAGCAACAAACTGCAAATGTTAATGCTTCAGGTTTGATAAATCATTAGTATGAATGTGTTACATTAATTTGTATCAATGTGTTACAGGCAATTATGTTTGTGCTAATATTTTCAAGGCAAAGATAGCACAGAAGGATGAACCAATTTGTCTACTGCAAGTGGAGACTGGTTGCAAAGTTTTCAGAAGAGATATAAACTAAAAAATATTAAAATTGTTGGAGAAGCTACATCCACTGATGAAGAAGCTTTAGTGTGGCTTCCAACAGAATAGAAGAAAATAATTTAGGGTGGGGAAAATAACAATTTTTCATTGTGACAAGACAGCCCTGTTTTGAAAGAAAAAGCTCAGCAGGACCTTCCATGAAAAAAAGCAAAACAAGCTTCTTTATTTAAACTATGAAAGGATTTACTAAAAGATGACAAAAGCTGGTGTTATTTACCTTGCTAAAGCCTAGTCTCCTACAAAACATAAATAATTATTTTCCCATTTTCTTTCAATATAATTGCAAAACATGGAAAAGGCAGTACTTTTTGCTAAATGGTTTTATAGATGTTTCATTCCTGAAGTAAATAACTATTTTGCCTCTATATTAACTTCTTTATTATCATGCAAGATGATTTGAGGCCACATTCTGAAAGATGTGCAACAGAATTCCTAATTGAAGCAGGAATTTAAAAAAAAATGTATATGCATATACACAGGGTGGTCCTTAAGTAATTGTACAAAAAGAAACCTTAGATTTCACACTTTAAAATATTACAATTTAAGCCAAATTGCTTTAATAAAATGTTGGGACAATACGCAATTTAGGGCACTCTATATAACCAAATATATTTTCCTCAAGGCACTGCGTCACAGTGTTGCCGTATTTATTTTAGTAAAGTATGTAAATGAATGTTACAAATATAAAGTTACTTTTACGAATTAATAATTTTTGTTCTGAGAAGCTACAAATTTTAAATAAGTATAAAACTTGCCTACAATATCCTACAACTGATAGAAAACAATAGAAAAAGATTAGTGTGGTTTGACCCTCGAAAGAGCTTAACCCAACATTCAAATGAAGCAATCGGTCAAAATTAAATATAAACAATAGTGTTTTTAACAATATATATATATATATATATATATATATATATATATATATATATATATTATAAATATAGATAAAAAATTATTGTAACAAATGCAAAAGTAAAATTAAACATATATAGCTTATTCTGTTACTATTTTTTAAATTATGCATGTGACAAATACCAAGGTGAAACTGATACATATGATTACCATATTCATTCCTTTCATTATCATCCTCATTTATTCATTCATTAATATCTAAACAGTCTTGTTATTCGTAATATATACAAACTAAATCTGTAAACTTTACTCATAGTGATATAAATGACTTACTATTTGATCGAACAAGGCATAATGAGTTTAGGTTTCTTCCAGTATAAGGTATATATATGTTCCGAGTAGATGTTTTCATGGAGGGAGAGAGAGAGAGAGAGATAGAGATTGTGAGATATTGTTTCATGGAGGAGCAGTGTGAAGTTATTATGCTAAGAAACCGGATCTGGCCCCAAATGCATGTAGGCACATTATGAAATCTTTACAAACATGATTATAAAGTAGAAATTTAGAACAATGAATCCAAATATAAACAATAAGAACTATATTTTTTCTTATAACGATGGTAGCCTAAGACTGTCATTCTACAGATGTTGCATTAAATTCAGTAGCTGGATCCATGCTATCAGGAAGAGAGCAGATACATGCCACAGCCTTATTACTAGTGCCCCTTGAATTATGAATATTAATGACTCTCACCACTCCATCAGATCCTAGGTGAACGGATTTAATACATCTTAAAGGTCAATTTATGGGATATACATTTCTGTCCTTGATTAACATTAATGTACCAATTTTCACATAACACTGATTCTGCATACACTTGCATCGCTGCTGTAGTTGGGAAATGTATTCCAATGACTGTCTCTACCAAAAAACAGCGTGTGGTGCCGACAGATGTAGACACTAACACAGTCCAAATTCCCCAACATATTCGTCAAATTTTACTCTCCCGACTTTAGCATTAAAGTCCGCCATTACCTTCTTTTTTAATAGCTCTTAAAATTGTGTCTTAACTCCATGTAAAAATGTTCTATCCCCTGTTCATCCTTATCCGCTGTTGGTGCATATACTTGAATTATGTTAACTTTTTGTATGTTTTCTGTATGTCTTATGTGTCTAACAAGATTGCGACTCCATCAATACATCATTTTCGTTATCAATTTTTGGTTATACATATATTAGTATACATTGTGTCTGGTCATTGTATGTCACTTTATATTTAAGTGTCCAGTATATTTATTTCCATTCTGGTCATTTCTTGTATTAAATTGTCTAATTTTCCTGGCTGGTACAAGCTTCTTACATTCCATGTTGCAAGTCTTATTGGCCTACATTTGTGTATTCTTAGATGTGGAATTTTATTATCTAAACGTGGATTTTGCTTACTATTGACCTGGAAGGCTTCGTTTTTTATATGATCTTTTCCTTGCCTGCCGGATTTTGGTTGCCAGATTCCATGATCAGTAACGGTTTGACTTTTTTGCTTAATTGCCATGACGAATGACTAGGGATGTTCTATTGAACCTTTAATGCAGTGGTTTCTGCGGTTATACAGTTATTCTAAACATTACCAAAATGCTGGTTATTCCAAAATTCAATTAAAAGCACTTTTACAATAATTTTATAGATCTGCACTAAAGTCTTCAAGATTGTTAAAAAAATTGTAATTTGCTAACTAAAATATCTTAGCATCTTAACGTAATGAAACGTCAGTTGAACAACGATTATATTTGTGACATTATTTTCTCCACTTATTCCTTTTTTTAGTGACACTAAACGATGCCTCCGTTACTTAGGATATATTGGATTACAATCCCACTTTGTTTTCGTGGGCGATACCAGAATAGAGGAATTATATAAGGCTTTTGTACACCATTTAAAACAAGAGGAAAATGTTAGCCAGAAACCAACTCTTGTATATACTAATTTAACACACATTGATGACAGATTAAAAATAAAGGTGGACTTCATATGGTCACCATATGTTTCACGGCAAATGGTCAGTCTTTTCAGGTAAGTTGCTAGAGTTCAATAGATATATTTTAAACACTTGCATATTCTTTCATCTTTTTCTCACATTCTTTCAAAGATTGGCTACTGCCTTATTGCTCTTGATTTTGTCTATTACATTTTTAATGATCGCCAGTTAATTGTAAACTAGTTCTACTATTCTGAGATTTGGATTCTTTACACAAAGGAAATATTGGTGTTGTATGTATGTAACCCTGTCCAAGATGTTATGAATTATTTGAATTTATGATTTTCCTAGAGCCTGTTGTCTGAATGTTAAGTCCACATATCCTTCACCGCTTCTTTTAACTTCTGATGTTATGTCTCATGTTCCTCAATTCCTCTTCTAGTTCGTAGAGTTTTTCATCTTTTGCCATGGAACATATATTGTATGTATCACCCTGTTTATTATGACGTTATTATATACTATATACAGATAAATAGGTTTACATTTTTAAAGCAGGATCGGTTCTGGGTAAGTTATTCACATTTCATTTGTAACATTTTTAGGCATTGGGAAAACTCTGATCATCCTCCATCGGTTATAGTGGCTGGAGGCGCGCTATGGCCAATAATATCATCAAATGCTTCAAAGGTAGCCGTAAAAGAATATTACATGAATCTTACCAGATTAGTTCAACCCATCGACAGATTGTCTCGACGGAAAACCTGGACACTATGGGCTTTGCAGGCACCTGTGAACGAGGAAAAATTAAAACCTGATGAGCATATGGTTACAAATGCATTAATTGATCAATACAACGCTGCTGCAATTGAGGTAAATGTTCTTTTTAATGATAATACTTAATTCTTCAGTTTTGTGGTGGACTAAGAGTATAGCAGACTATACCAATCAATAAGACCCGGGCCTGATACATAGGCCGCTATAAAAAAATCAATATGAATTAGAAAATCAAACATTTAAATGTCATCTGTTCGTTAGGGATCAATGGAATGAGTGACACGGAGTTGCAATTTCCAAGTTTTTACCATATAAAGGTCGATTCAGACACATCAGTCCCGTCATAGTCTCGGCGCCGAACCGGTCCTGTTTGGTCACAGAACTATCAACTATCTGACAGCTGGGAAACTGTTTGTCAACTGATGAGTATGAATGCCGGCAACATATTTGTATTAAAGAATATTTTGTATGACAGATTGTTCGGTTCGGCGCAATCACTGTGACGAGACGTGACTGATGTGTCTGAATCGACCTTTACTCATCCATCACTGACGCACCATTGTCATTTTTAATTATAAACGTTTTATTTTGAATAATTCTAATTATGCAATTCAAAAGACGCGCAGTGTAGTTATGTTTTAATTTTTGTAGACATTTATCTATTTTAGGTTTTATCCCACTCTGCCGCGGATCTTTGGTGGAGTGCCCGTTTGGTAGGCCAAGGGATGCTTCAGGAAAGCCCGGATGGAATTCACCTTGCAGAAAAACCACAAATACATGATACACAGATTCTTCTTAACATGTATTGCAATGATTATATGGCTTTCAATGATGGTACCTGCTGCAGTTCAGTGGAGCCAAGGACAACGTTGCAGATTGTCACTTTCGTCGTTATGGCTATTTGGTAATTACTTTTATTTAATATTTCGGGTTTATACAAAAACGAATCCTTTTTTTCGTTTTCCTTTTTGTTTTAATTATTTTACAAGGTGTTTTGTGGAATATGTAAATGTTTTCACTTAAACATACATTTTGTATTTTTTCGCCTATGAGTTTTCTTTTAAATCATATAGTATTTAACTAATAGTTAAGTTAATATCCCATAAATTCCATCTACTTCTGATAACCGAACCAATAAAAAAATACAAATAAAACTTCTGCCCCCAGATCTTTAAATTACTTCCCCCTCCCTGTGCTGTACTGTTTGATTACATCAAAGCAATAGGTAGTATTGATGCTCCCAAAAATGTACAATTAGCATCTAGAATCTCCCATGCTCGCATCTGTATTTACTTGTCTTCTTCATCGCAAGTTGGCAATATTATAAGCACTCATCCAAACATTTCTATTAATTCAAATGTTATTCCAATACTCAGACTTATTTTACATACCAAAACAATATTAATTGTAAGCCTCTCCATTCCTCACCCCGTAATTGAAAAAGCTCTCCAAGATCTAGGATTAGCACTTACCTGACCTATTTCATAAGTTAAATGTAGACCACCTAATGATAAATACCTCATGTTTTGAGTTTTCGCCGCGTAACGTATATTTTATCCAGCAGTGATGATTTTTTGACTTTGATTTGCAGTAACTACCATTTCTTTTGAAAATTTAATTCACAGAATATTTATTTCAACTGATAAACTAGAACGATTTCTTTACAAACATATTAGATATACTGCAGAGTCATGCACCAATATCCAAAACAGTGCCCCTTCCTACGACCTCCATCCAATTTCAAATAATTCATAAGATAAGGAACAACCATCTCGTTTCATGTTAACCACCAGTAACGCCATTCCAAATATCCCTAACTCATTCTCTGCAGAAACACCTACACCTTCCTCTAACCCCGAGCTTACTAATAAAAAAATGGGCGAAAAAAGACCATGTTCTACTGACAGGACCCTCGACTCACCTCAGCTCCTATCACCCACTACTACTCCTCCAATTTTTAACCTAATGCCTCTGCTTGAGTTCTCACCAACTATCATACAAAAACCTGTCAAAAGAATTCAACGGATTTTGACTGTCACACTATTAATCAAGAATCTCTCTCCATTATTAATAAACTCTACGAATATGTCTCAGGATTGTTTTTACTCAATGTAACCCAACTTACTTCATTCCTCGAAAACTCCTTTGGCACCAACAACCCTCTAACTGAAGCTAGTAAATTTACCACTGACGTACCCTCTTTAATGAAAGATCTCGCCCTGATATATACTAAGATAAAAGAAAGATCTTTAAAAAATCGTATAACACGTTTGTTAAATAAAATTAAGATAAAGCTGCATCAATTTAAATTATTTCACTGAACAACAGAAACACAAGTGACACCTCCGTTCCTTCTCAATAGTTTTTTCTTTCTTTTCTTTATATCCTTTTTCAAATTATTAACATTCAGCCTGATACAATGGAATAGCAATGGATTTTATCTCGCCTACAAAGAACTAAAAAGATTAATTCCTAATTAGAAATAATTTCCTCTCATAATCCCGACATATTTTGTCCTTAGGAAGCAAATTTTAAAATTGACCAGGATATAATTGTATCCGCGCAAACTGTACAAGAGCCAATGGGGGTACCTCATTATTTGTGTCTAGTGATGTATACTTCTCTCTCCTACCTTTAACTACAGATTTCGAAGCAGCTGTTACTGCTTAGTGTCCAAACAAACTTACCATTTTAATATACTCTCAATGAAGAAAAGTTAGCCGATTTAATATTTCAACTTCCCCTCCCGTACATTCTTGTTGGTGACTTTAATGCCCATAACAGCATCTGGGGCTCATTTCGTAATTTTGGTAAAGGCAAAGTTGTTGAAAACGTGTTAAATTGTTCAGATACCTTTCTATTAAATACTGGACTTAATACCTATCTGTTCAGAGTCATTTTCAGCCATTGATCTTAGCCTTTGTGATCCCCAAAATTGCACTTTCCCCTCCTGGGAAGTTTTTGATGACCTTCATGATATCAACCACTTTCCTATCGTCATGACCAGCTTCTCCAACTTACATTCCTCCTTACTTGCTGCTGCCGAATCTCATATCGGTAATAAAAACCATCTCCTCTACTCACAAAATGGTACCCTGGTGGAAATATGATTGTAATAACGCCATCTGTTTATCCAAGAATGCTTTAAATAAATATCGACGATTTAAAACCTAAGAAAATTCTCAAACAACTTAAAGCTTAAGCCAAATTCATTATCAACCAAAGCAAAAGATCTTCATGACAAAATTACACTTCCTCCCTAACACACAAAGCAAACGCCATTTAACTATGGGAAAAAAATTAACAAATCCAAAGCAATAAAACTGATCTTAAGATTCCTTTCCTAATCTTCAACAATACAGTTAACTCCGACAGCTAAGTAATTGCCAATACAGTCGCTAATTATTTCGAAGATAAATTCAATAAAAGTAATATACTTCCCGTCCCAGTTATGTACACACTCAAATCTTTCTTCATCTTCTCGTCAATTCCACATGATGTCACGTTTATTAACGCCCCCTTTACTTTTTTCTTCAAGAAAAACTATCTTGAGTTTGATTTATTGGAAGATTTGGAGATTACAAGAGAAACAAATGAAATCTCTCACTGTCTTAATACTCAAATTAATTTAAATTGTACTAAATTTAATCCTATATTTAAAAACTTTATTACAGCTTCACCTCGTAGAGGACCCAGCTCGACTGTTTAGACTTCATGCACTGAGCATTTCGATATTAATTTTAAATATCTTCCATTGACTGTGTATTCAACTGAACTACTTGGATTATAACCCATTTATATATTTTGCTTTCAATTTTGATTTTAACTTTTAGTAATTTAACTGCATATTCAGATTTTTCTTTTTTTACAGTACTGATAGCGCTTGGTGGACCATTTTATTGTAGTCAACCATCCACTGTCTAATATATTGTTTAGTCTTTTTCTTGCATTCATACTTTATGTCAACTTCAATTGCTCTCAAACTAACATCCTAATTATTATATTGGACCTTTGGTCAATACTTAGTTTAATAGAATTTTTAAAGGTGCAGATCACATATCTATTATAACTGCCCTTTACAAGCTGTCATTTGTCACATGTCATCTCAATATTTCCGCCAGACTGGGGAGCCATTCTGTCTCCGGCTTCTATATAACATGTAGCTTCTCCATTTTTAAAAAATTTAAAGTGTTTGTTTGTCTTTGTGTATTGTATTGTTATGTCCAAATTTACATGTATGACATTCTGCTCATGTCTTTTATCATGTTTATCTCATGTTTTTTATCGAAGTGAATTAATTTTCCTTTTTATAAAAAAACGTTTCTAGGCTTATTTCAGATGCTCCTGAGGATGATCTATTGATCGAAAGTACTTGGGCAAGATTTAATTAATTACTGTGTTCGATATTTGCCTTGTATACCATCAAAGTTCAATTATTCGAACATTCAACCTTATATTGTTTTAACTATTCGTTTTTATACCACAATACAAGTGTGAAGTGTTTTAACTTCTGTTTTTTTTTAGTATTAAAGTTAAAAAAGAGTGCAGTTTCCATTTGCTAGGAATTTAATATGCAATTTTCGTTTATACGTGTTTTAATTGTTTTCTTTTTTATTTTTAGTGTAACAATTGCAATAGTGATGATACTTAGAAGACTGTTACTCCGATATTGCGGCAAACCGGTGTACGACTACCACAGATTACCTGATAATGATTCGCAGCCCCAACTACCACTAACCAGCAACAATTATTTATTCCTGTTCAAAACCATCTCGAAGATGACTCTGATCATTGCGTACTTTTTTATCTGCGATCGCACAAATTTTTTTATGAAAGAAAATAAATACTATTCCGAATTTAGTTTTTGGCTGCCTATTGGATATATTACTGTTTTAGGTTTATTTTTTATGGAAGAGAGTAAATTTAACAAGGTATTGCACAGGGATCAATTGAATGAATGGAAAGGGTGGATGCAGATTGTCATTTTAGTGTATCACGTCACTGGAGCGTCTAAGGTTCTATTGATAAATATGCATATTAAAGTGTTAATATCCGCTTATTTATTTTTATTAGGTTATGAACAGTTTTGTTATGTGTGGTATAGAAACGATGTAGGAATTGTAAGTTTTTGTCGAATGTTGTTTCAGCTCAATTTTATGACAGTTACATTGTGTCTCAGTATGAACCGTCCATACCAATTTTATTATTTTGGTCCTCTATTATCCTTCTGGTATCTTATGATCTACTTCTTTGTTGCCTTTCCTCCTCACATCACGGCGCAGATCTCAGAGAATAATGTGATGCAGTATTTTTATTTACTTATTAAGTTTATCACTTTTTGTAGTGTGGTTACAATTCTTTTTATGTCAGAAGTATTTTTCGAAAAAATTTTTGTTACCAGGCCATGGAAGGCTTTGTTCGTTACCATAGATGATGATATTCATGAATGGTGGTCTAGATGGAAGCTGGATCGTTACTCTGTAATGTACGGAATGATTTTTGGGGTTATTATGGTTTTGTCTCAACGATACAATATTTTTGACGACAACAACCATTCTAATTTATTTTCTAGGGGTATAGCACTGAGTTCAACCCTTCTGGCACTTGTAGGCATAGGTTCTTACATGATGTTCACTTATCTTTGTAGAAATGAACTTGAATGCAGTGAGATCCATTCGTATATTGTGTTTATACCTATAGTAAGTTTTATTTTTCTCCGAAACATATCGGGTGTACTCAGAACACGATATTCAAGCTTGTTTGCTTGGTTTGGAGAAATTTACCTCGAGCTATTTGTTAGTCAGTACCATATCTGGTTAGCAGCTGACACTCACGGAGTCTTGGTACTCGTTCCAGGATACCCGGTACTTAACTTGATAATAACTACTTATATTTTCGTGTGCGCCTCTCACGAAGTCCACAATATTACCAAAGCGCTACTCCCATATGCTGTTCCAAATGATTGGAAGCTGGCACTGAGAAATTTAATTTTATTTCTTGCTGTTTTGGTGCCCATCGGTATTAATGACGGTATGTTTTAAGTATAACTACTCTATTATTTGTGATAAATATAAGTTATTTAAGTAAAATTTTGTTTTATTTCCGTATTCAATTTAGTAATTCGATTCACGGATGTAACCAGTGAATTATACATAAAACATGGAATAGAAATCGGTGCAATAGGTAAATGAAGCAAAAACATTATACTGTAGTTTTAAACTTGTAGGCAGAATATTCTCAGAAACCTGAATGCGTTTAAAACGATACGTTGTTGTCAGTCAAGAAATGTTATAGTTATCATGTGTGTTTAAATGCTTTATAATTTTTTATTTTAATCGTTAACATAAAATAAAAATATAATATAACTGAGGTGTTCTATTCTTTGAGGTAGGTGGGTATTAAAATATGTTCACTAACAACAATGTATTGAAAAAAAAAACAAAAGCAGATATTCTGTCCGTAAAAGTAAACATGGCAACATTACGTGCATGATTCTTGTAGCAAATACGACAGACCATTAGATGAACGTTGCCGTATAGTAGCAAGAGAGATTTCACTCATTATCACAATGAAATGAAACAATGCAATTCTAAATAAACCACGCGTCGTAAGTGGTTAAAAGTAGCCAAAATCACGTATCTGTTATACATTCTCAGAAATTTGGAATTCGATCATTTGCGGCGCGTAAGAAAATATGTTTCCTTGCTGTTTACGTTACATTGTAATAAAAGAATATTATATTTCTGCTTATAATAATAAAAACAATGCATTAAATTATAAAATACATGTTCATTCCATTAATAATGTGTAGATAGTAGTCTGAAGTCGACTAGCACTATTTGGAAGAGTGATTCATCGTGTAAAGGCGGAGAACTAGGGAAAGACGTCGGCACTTTCTCGGCAAAAACGAGTTTTACGGCTATCTGTGGGCCAAAGTTGCCAAACCATTGAAAAATAATGTTTTAAAATATCGATTTTATTTTATAAATTTAAATATGTAACGAAACGGAACATAAATACAATTTATTTCATTACAATGTTTGTGCTTAATTTTTACTATTGAAAAAATGTTTTTTGTTATTTTTTATGACGGTAATAATCGGTGCGTGGAAGAATACAGGTTTTGTATGACCATAATTACTACTTGTGAACAAGAATTGTCTACACTGTACGACAACTCCTTGTCAAGTCTTTTATAGAGAAGTACAAATAAATATACTACTTATATATTATGTAATTTCTTACGAGAAAACGCAATTTGCAATTGAAAAAATGGGTAGTTTTCGAGGGCCGCTGTGTACATTTAATTTTAAGGATATTCGGCGTTTAAACGATGAATCACTCTTCCAAATAGTGGAATTATAGCATAGTCTGTCAATAGATAGCAACCGCAGATGTTTGTTTGGTTTGTATCATCGAGCAAAAAGATAAAAGAGGGAATCTAATCGTTATGAAAAGGAGACCAAAAAAGTGGCCTCTGATGGCGGACATATCCGGAAATGCAAAGGCGCTAAATTTAAATTTTCCAACACTTATTAACAAATAGCTATAAAATATTTTTCAGACGAGAAAGTTTTAATTAAATATTAACTATAATAGTCTAAAAAGTGACACAATTGGTAAAAAACTTCAATATAAATAAAATTTCATGTGACAGTTGGGACAAACAATAACATAACCTAACTAAATTTGACTTCTTAAACAAGGAAAGAGACTGTCTATCCTTGTCTAAAGTGGCCTCTCAAGATGGCACTTCCTGTCTATCAATATGTTTACCCCCACTACCTTTACATTCCCTCTTTTGTCTTATTGCTCGATGGTTTGTGTTTTGTATCTTGTCTTATAATCTGTGGTTTGTATGTACATAATGTCTTTTAAAAACATGCCAGAACGTGTTTATTTGGAAGAAGTTATACATCGAGTCATGCATGACATGAATCATATTGTTACAAATACAATAACTCCCCGCAATTAATTCTACGTATTGCGTTTACGGCAGTAAGCAGAACGAAACGCAATTATTCGAAGTTTATATCTGAGAACGACTGTCAAATAACTGAGAAGTCTATTTAATAACGGAGTTAATCAATGTCCTGCATGGTTGACCAGGAATTTCTGAAATTCGCTTGTGTTATCGTATTGTTATTTATATTGTGCGTCTATATTCATAGATATCTATATTTGTTGTTTGTTGCTGTTGCTTATATGCGGTAAATTGTGGTGTGATGTGTTTGGCCTAAATTTTGATGACAGTTGACAGATGGACTAATGGGCATGATTTTAGGTTTTCTTTTTTTTCAGATAGAATCTACTAGGTTTAAGCACAGAAAGGGCTTATAAGTGAGTTTGAAAATACGTAAACTTAAATTATTTACTTTGTTTTATAATCTTAACTCTTATCAAATGTGACAATATAATTTAACTTGAAGTTCTATTTGAACTACTGAAGTTTATCTTTATCCGATTATCCAAAAAAGAAGAATCCGATTTGTCAAAACTTTTAAATATAACGGAAAAAGTGTTTATAGTTTATGTACAAATATAATAACAATTAATATATAAAAGTATTAAGTAATCAATTAGCAAATAATGAAATTGGTAAAATTGATTTAGGATTATGGAATCTAATACAGAGTTTGTAAATGTTGCTATAAGGATCAAACCTAACAAATCGAATAGTGAAAGTCAATGTTTATGTATTATAAGCCAAGAACCACCAGTAAGTTTCATACTTAAACCTATTGTTCTGATATTAATTAATAATTTACTATACATTAATATTTTTAGAATGATATTTATAAATACAATATTTTCATATACAAGGGATTTTATTGATTGCGATAAAAAATTAAAATAGGTGTTCAATAACATTTTGAAATTTTGGTTTAAAAATTATGGAAACGTAGGGTATTTTTCAATCCCTACCCAAAATTATTTGATTTTTTGTTCAGTTTTTTATATTCAGTTACAAAATCATAAAAATTGAGCTCTAGAATATGCATGGAGTGATAGTAATAAAGGATTTTAATTGTGTATTTTCAAAGAGTTTTTTAAAAATTTACCTCTATATTCTTTAAAATCTATTTTTTTTTTAATTTCAGGTTTTGTTATTGGTAGATCGCTCCCAAACATTTTCATTTGATAATATATTTTCTGAGGATGTCTCCCAAGAGACAGTTTACAATAAAACTGTGAAACCTTTAGTTCACTATGTTAAGAAAGGGTATAATAGCACTGTTTTTGCCTATGGGCAAACTGGAACTGGGAAAACTTATACCATGGGAACAGAACCTAATGTAAATATAAAATGTGCATTAATAAATTAAATTATACAATATTAATAATTTATTTGTTATATAATGTGATTAAATGTGCATCTTGTATTTTCTAGATGATTCTAATTTTATAAATTTTCTTTAAAGCAATGATTTTCACAGGTTTTTTTAACAATAATTCATAGGTTAATACAGTGTCTTATTATATTAATAATAATACAATTGTTGCTTCTTTATTGTGAGATAGTTAAAGCATACCACACACATCTTATAGAAAATGTAATGTCACTCAAATGCAATAAAATTTACATTGTTTGGAAAAGTGTCAAGTAATTTAAATATTTTATTTTCATTATTACGAGTATGACCTTATTTAGTTTTAAATTTTATTTAATCATAATATATTACCTAATTGCAATATGGCTTTAGTTTATTTTTAAATTCTCGAACTCAAATTGGCTGATTAATTATTGTCAAGTTCTGAGAATTCACTTGTCTGAAATTCAACATGTTTTTGGGAAACATATATCAACCCAAAACACTTCAGCTTCCTTAAGAAAATGTATCCGCCTTTGTGTAGCAAGTAAAGAATGTCACTTTAAGTTTAATTTACGGCTATTCACGGAGGTCTCTAAAAACAGTACCCTCTAGTCGATTTGGGGTAAGAGATACGTGCCCCTTTGCATATGATCGACCACTCTTCAAAAAACTCTCGTCCTGTACGGAATCAAGCGCCAAGCAGATCACCACAGCAGTGTATCTCACGCCAACCCCAGCCGGGCCGACCATAGACAAAAAAAGGTAAGTGAATCTCATATAGAATTGACAATAAGATATAAAATCTGCCAATTGTTATTTGAATTCATTTTATTTTACATATATTTGCCACAAATATTCGCTATTTTCGCTAATCTTATATACAATCTAATATTGCATTTTTTCGTTATAATTATTTATTCAATACAATTTAACCAGCGATCTCTCAAGTTTAATCACTAAACATACATGAATAGATTTATCTCGAAATTACAACCATTTCATATCATTATGCTAGCTATGAATTTTTATTAATAATGTACATTGTAATTAAAGTTTATGGAAATCCATTTTTGAAGTCCATAAAACTGTAATTCATAAGTATGATTAGTTTAATCGCTATTGAAAACAGCTTACCCAGTATGGGCTAAGCAGATTAGATGAACTATGTACTTTGGTAATGGTACCTTGGCTAAAACGGCTTCAATCCTGGCATATCCGAAAGAACAGTCTTTTTGTGCTTCTCACGGATGCTTCTCAAAATGTCTTCGGGCGGTGCTTTCCCAAGTGCAGAAGGATGAGGAACACGTCATAGGATACTTAAGTAAAATCTGGGAAAAGCTGAAAGAAACTGCTAAGTTATGTGTGTGGAGTTATTGCCGCTCATTAAACCTGTAGAACACTACCATTCTTTCCTTTATGGCAGAAGATTCTTGATAAAATCAATCCCACCGAGCGGGAAGAAGTCATGGAAATGCTGACAGCCTCTTGAGAAGATTGTGCAAAGAGAAGAACTTCTGTTTCTGTGACCGCCAAGAAGAACGAGAGGGTCAGATTCTACAGTTAAACAGCCTAAAGGACGGAAGTGGCGAAGAAGATTTAACCAAAGAAAACCTCCAGGCTGAACAGAAGAATGATCCAGATCTAAAAATAGTCCGTGGGTGGCTGGATAACGGAGATAGGCCACAGTGGTAGGAGATTGCCAAATATGGGCACGCAGTGAAGAGCTATTGGCTTCAGTGGTCCATCAACAACTACCTGTCCCCGTTTGTACATGAAAATCAGAGAGACTGGGAAAAAATTTTGCATCTGTTTCTGCTAGCCTACCACTATTGATTGGTTGAAAGATAAAGCTTCCCATTGATCTAATACATGGCAATCTACTAGACGGAGAGACAGACTGTCATCACATGCCTTAGACTGTTTACCAATGAGCACGTCGATGCGCATCGCCCCGCCTTTTAACTTCCACGCAATTTACGATTGTCCAATTGACCTGGAAATGCACATATCGATACGAAAGAAAAATGTATGAAAAGAGTACATTTTCCAAATCAAGGCAGGTCTTGCTTCGGCTCCCGCATAGAATATCCTATTTCATGGGGCTGTGCTTCCCACTCGTCCTTAGACTCTTTTGCTTGGACATTTCTACTACCAAACTGTGTTTTTATTATAAGATATTACCTAACCCACCAAATTGGAACAGAAACGCAGAGGAAACTGATTGGGTTGCTCGAAGCCCTCCGCAGAGCATCTAGGGAGCAAATATGGGTTAATTCTTGCCAAGATCCAAACGTCCTTATGGTGACATCGCGCCCAACCAACAGTGAACCTTGCGACCCAAGCTCACTTCAACGAGCTATGCTGAGCATCTTCCAGAACGAGAATGGTTCCAGGAGCTCAATACCAACCCACGCCGGCAACTAACCTAGACCATAGACCGTCATGATATTCTGCAGTTTCTGATGCTGCCCAGTGCCGAAAGTTTCGGTGAACGAGAAGTTCTCGTAGCCACGAAGTCCAGAGGCAACTGACGCTCCGGAGCAGCCTCCGAGTCACATCTTGCCTTACCGTATGTGATTCAATGTCCACGTAGGCACAAGCATGATAAAACCCGGCTAGCAAACGAGTTTGGGTTCAATCTGGCGGAAAGGAGGACGAATTCACCAAGCAAAAAGCACTTCGACCGAGGATTGTACCTGCAGAAGATGACAAGTACTACCAGGAAGGTGCTGTGGTGTGGTGACCTTTACAAACATTCTGTAGGATAATCTTGAACATATAAATTATGGATGAACATTTCTTTAACCTTTTATAAACATTTTAATTACATTTCGAATTTTTATGAGCATTTTTTAACTTTTATAAATAATTTTTAATTTTAGGAATACTTTTAGTTTTTTCTTTTCGTGTTAACATTTTTGAACCCATCTGAACCTTTTGTAAAACTTTGTAGGAACATTTTCGAACACTGTGAGATTTTTAAACATTTTTATATACATATTTTAAAACTTTTATGAACTTTTGTGAGTATTTATGTACAATTTTAATGTTGTATATGTAGCTTTTACCACTTTTGCACCTCTTTATAATTGCTTTGTGTACTAAATAAATCTTTCCAGCAAGAGCCTTCAAAGGGGGGAACGTCATCGCTTGCCTTAGAATGTGGACCAATGACCACGTCTATGCGCAACACCATGCCTTTTCACTTCTACACAATTTACGATTGGCCAATTGACTTGAAAATGCCCAAACTTCCTTACAAGACCAGGAGACACTCCCCGAGTATGTCAGCAGCATAAAGGATTGACCGGTTAAGGTTCACGATTTCGTCAGGAATAAGCTGTAACTCACCAGTGACCAGATTAAGGTTAAGTTCGATCAGAAATCCACTTCTGTTAGTTTCGCGGAAAGTGATGCAGTTTGGCTCTACCAACCAACCAGAAGGAAAGGTTTAAGTACCCGGTTTCCGCGGTCCTAGGTCCTATGTCGAACCATACCTGGTTACTAAGAATATTGTGTATAGGGTGCAACTGTAACGCCACGAGTAAGCCGAAGGTCGTCAATCTGGAGAGACTGTGTCCTTATGAAGGTCAGAATCCACTGAACTGGTTCACTTGGGTACTGTTTTCGGCGAATAGCCTGAAGGAAGGGGCGATGTTATGAGTTACAACGCTTTAATTCTAGAAGTCGAATTAACCACTTTGTCAGCAAAGTCATCAAACTCTTTATCTGTATTTTTCTGGAATCTCGTGCTCGAACCTCGGAAGTGCTGATTCGGCATTCGAACGTTCGATGGAACTCTAGAACAGATGTTCGTGTATATAAACTGCTCCGAAGTTGAATTCGAAATGTCAAATAAATTTAATTCCTAACTAATATTCAGGCTCATTTAAAATTAAAATAGTAAATTTGCATAAGATGCTACAAGAAAATAACTTTAGAACAATATAAAGAAACAGTTACTTCAAATTTCAGTACTACTATGATTTAATTTTCGTTATTTGTTGATAATTCTTCTGTAGCCAATCCGGAGTGTTGGAAATTGTACCTGTATGGGAATGTCCGAAATAGATCTACAGAAAGGAAAATGATTTGCCCTAACAAAAAGTAGATGATGATGAAGAATCGTGTATTTTAATAGGGGTAATTTTCGTGCAATTGAAAGTTTATTTTCTATAAAGTAATTCATAGAAATCTCATACGTAACAGGTGCCGAAGGTCAACTGACTGAGGAAATTTTCGATCAAACCTGTGATCGGAATTCCAACTTCACCATTCACGCTCTCACTTCGTCGCCAGTCGGAAGTTGGACCTTCAAGTCGTCCTTCTAGATGTTCCGACTCGTACCACTAGTTGTCCAACTAATCAAACCAGCCCACTCACAGTCCGATTTCAGGTCCAACTGCGGAAGTTGGACTGCTAGTAGGACTAAAAATAGGAACGTGAATAGCCTGTTTTACTTGACTTAATTCCTGAACCTAGAGAAAAACATATCAATATTAACAATTTAAAGAAATCTACATACCACGTTTGAAATACTTGTTCAAACACTTTGACACTTCTGAAACTTTTATTATTTACTTCTAGCTTCTACTAGCCAGCGAAAAATACTGTAACAGATTTTTTTTAGTAGGTAATACTTGAAACTGACTGCAGGAGTATCAATGCTATATTCTCATGAGAAAAAAACTGAAAAATTTTCAGTTCCACAAATATTTTTACAAAATTGGAATCCTAGGAAATATTGATGCATTTAGCGGTATATTTAGGGATTTTGTTTATTAAATTTTACATATCTTCTTTTTTTAAGGTAACAGACCAAAAAAATGTCGGCCTCATTTTAAGAACATTAAACCAGTTTTTTGAATATAATGATGATGATGAATCAGAAGTTGAAATCCATTTATCTTTTATCGAAATATATAAGGAAAAAGCTTTTGATTTGTTACAAAATGAGTCTAATCGTCTTAAAATCAAAGGTAAGTATTATTTATTTATTTAGATTAATCAACAAGACAAGGATGCTGCTGCAAAAAAGAAAATACATCTAATTAAATTTATTTAAATGCAGTTTAGTTTTGATTTAATATAAAGAGAATATTTCAATAACAATAAAAAGGCGTTAAGGCCTTTAAGTTATACTTAAAGGATGTTATGGGAAATCGTGTTGAATAACTCCTTTGACTCCGTCATATAATAAACTCTTGACCAAATGCTATCCCCATAAATGCTGTTTGGATTTGGTCTATGCAAGTTGTAGTCATGAACTCGATTATTTGTAGTCAGTGTCGAATTTAAATTACCATCCTGAGTTAGACTTCTAGATCTTTCGATCTTTAGATCCCAATCCCAAAGTTCCTTGGTCTGTTACGTCTAAAACTAAATAATGTTAGCCTCTTCGATCCAGTTTAGCAAAGTCTCCCCGTTTTGATCATTTTATCTCTACTTCCTTAGTTCGTGGTGACCTAAATGGGACTTAAAATCTCCAACCTAAATTCAAGGGATGTGAGTGGGGGTGAAGAGCATGTGGAGGTCACAGAGGTTTATAAATGTTCTTCTTAGGCTGCCTGTTCGTTTCGAACGTTGGCGATCATTCTGGCTATGATGACTTTGTTGGTTACTATATGAAATAGCTGTGTTGAGGTCTTTCTATACCATGCTCTCTGATTAGCAAGCCAGGATATTCTTCCTGGCGAATATTTATTTCTTTGACCTAATTGAAATGGACTCACATGTGCAACCCATTTATCATTAAAATAAATAAGTACGTAAACATCTGAAGTCTTCTACAAGAAATATACAGATAGCAGCTCGAAAAAATGTTGTTTATTTTGATTTTTTGAGAAATAAAGCCAATATAGCTTCAGATTATTTTTCCTCTTTTAGTCTCGTGTATATCATGTATGTAAGTCAGCCGTTCATCTTCTCCATAGGTACATTAAAAATTTAAGGGTACTTTTTCAGCCTGGTGAAATATGTCGGCTCCGTTGAAAATCATTCTCGGATTTTGCGAACCATGAACATTGTTTTTTCTTCCGGGTCTCTCTTTCCCTCTAATTTACCTTGAAGTGTTAGCTTTGCGATGGAATATCGATGGAAAATTTTAACACGTGGTCCAAGTATTCTAGTACAAAAAACGATAGAGAGTGTTTGAGGCACACAAAAAGGCAAAAACAATGTCGCTTTGCTTAGAATCGGAAGATGTGTGGGCTTGGTTCTTTGGATCATTCTTACTAGCACATAAACAAAACAAAAATTAAAAAGAAGGAAAATATGATAGCTACTATAGCTAAACCAGATATACGGAATAGGCAATACAAAGAAAAATCATAAATAATTTGCCAAAAATGGCAGAAAACAAGTTATAAAAAAATTGCCAAAAAGGACGCAACTTTATCATTATGGCGAGGCACAAAGAAAACTCAAAATCAAAATACATATATAAACAAATAACAATAAACAATAACCAATATACATATTATGGACAAGCTGCACCTATGTTTGCTTTTTGTTGATACTTCTTTGTTGGTAACACTTAATATTGGTTGTATTGAAGCAAATATCCTGTATTTACATAATGAGATACACATCAAGAATAAAGTCGTCATATATCTATGGGTAAAGGGACACGCAGGTATAACAGGTAATGAAATAGTAGATGCCTTAGCAAAAACAGCCCCAACATCAGGAGAACTAAACTGGAGAACTACCCCCGTCCGACTTATTCTTAAACCAAAGAAACAAAATAAATGAGATGTGGCAAAACTTATACAACGCTTCAACAACCGGAACAAACTTTTGTAAACACCAGCAAAAAATTCCCAGAAAACCATAGTTTCACAAAATACCAAACAGAAACTTTGTCGCCACAATAAATCGAGTACGTGCTAATCATGCACTAACACCCTATTATAAGCACAAAATGAAAATTACAGACGATCCATGTTGTATTTATGGTAAAATGGGTACATTAGTACATGTTTTACTTGAATGTCCAATAAATAATGTAAACATTAATAAACTATATAAAAACTTAACTTACTACAAGATAAACTTTCCAATAGACCTAAATTGTATTATTTTTTCAGGAAATAATGATATCCTTTATGTACTCCATCAACACATCATAAACTGTAAACTAAAACTGTAAAATTACTAACCAATTTTGTAAGCAATTCTGCGAAAGAAAAAAAAAATAGGGCTGAAACCTTCGAGGGGATGAACCGGGTTGACGCTCTAGCGCGAAATATATATATATATATATATATATATATATATATATATATATATATATATATACTAATTAAAAAAAAAATTAAACACCTTACTTATTTTGTATATTACTAACAAAACAAATGAATACAACATGCTCAGGTTTGATACTATGAAACTTAATTCACACAATTTTACACAAACTAATGATTCAATGTAACATAGTCTGGCTAATTGGTTTTCGCCAAAGCCATAAATTCCACGGAAAAAAAAACTCCATCCATGAAACTTACTGTAAGTAGTAACCTACTGATAGGACGTTATTAATTTTCACTTATTAAACGCAAATTCAGTATACATTTGAGATTAGCTGTATGTTATTTCCGTATATACTAATCACAAACTGATTATAGTACTTTTGAACAAAGAATATTGACGATAGCAAAGCTTCTCTAATATCTAAACCGTTAATAACACCAAAGTGTGTTTCAGCACTAACCTCTTTACATCTTGTATTAGTTATCCTATCGTAAATTATGGTGCAGTATTTATAAAAAAAAACATTGAGAAATCAATTCAAGGTGTGATTTTTTTAATTGTCACAAACAATGGAAAAATAACTTTTCACTGATATATAACAAGAAAATAAAAAGTCGCTGCTAATACACAAAAATTTCACACTAACAAACTTTGTAATACTTTAAAACAATAATACAATTATCTAAAAGGATAAGCTAATAGGTATTCTATCAGCCTTTCAAAGACAGTATCTGTTCATTCATAGGTATATCTTAAAATTAAAATTATGAGTTAAGAATTTATGATTTTGTTTGTTTTTAGGTGTAAAAGTAGAAGGAGTTAACAAAGAGAAAGTTTTTAGTCTTCATGAAGCAATACATTTCTTAAAAATGGGCAACAAGAATAGACATACACGTGGGACGAACCAAAATTCACAAAGTTCAAGGTCTCATGCAATATTCACAATTTATTGCAATACAAAACATAAGTAAGAAAAATTAAAACATCTTTTTTTTTGTTATATTTGGTATATTAAATAGACAATATAAAACACTATATTAATAGTCACAAATTACAAAAATAAAAAGAAAACTTACGTTGCAGCATTTACAAATCGTTTGATATATAAATTCTTTGAAATATATTGAAATCCCCTCGTATATGTAATAATTTGAAATCCCGTCATCTATGTATTAAAATATCGAAGATTTTTTTCCATGTTTCTTAGTTCGTATATTTCAAGTTAAAACCCAAATAATATTTCGTTCTTTTCACGTCGCCAAGTCGATAATAAATCATTTTATTGTTTGTTTATGTCACAGGCGCAAATTTTTCTATATTCCTTTGATCGTTAAACTTCCCGATACTGCCTTTTGAAATTAATAAATTGCGTCTTAATTCCCTTTGTGTTTTGTTTATACTAAGTGCTTTGTTTATTCTAACTTATGCGATCAATTTTAAACAATAAAATTTCATTTAACGCCTGTTTGAAATCGATATACAAGTTGTAAATAGGTATGTTATATTCAACACATTTTTCATGTATACCTCTTAACATTTAACAGCTCTTGAAAATGCTCCTTCCACCTTTTATTTAATCTTTCTCGCTGATAATTGCCCCATTTTTGTCCTTGCAAACTGTTAATTTTGTCATGTATCTTTGGGTGTATTGCTTGGTTTTCTTGTAAAATTTTCTAGTCTCTCTTCTGTTATTATAATTTGTAATTTTTTGTATTTTTCTATTCAACATTTCTCTCTTTTTCCTTCTACATATTTTCTTTGCATCTTTTTTGAGTTCTTCATATGCCCTTCTATTCAATCGCGAATCCCTTTGTAGACATTTCTGTCTAGCTATATTTTTGCTATTTCTTACAGACGCACTGGAAAAAGATCAACATATAATTTTGTGTACTCTTATTTATAAATGAACGTAAACGCTTAACGGAACGTAAGTGAAACGTTCTGCAACGGAAGAGTTGGCCAACTTTCATCTTTTACAGTGCATTACTTGCATCTGGCCAATCAAAAGGAGGAATTTTGTGCTGTCAACCAAAGTGAACTGTCTGGCCCGCCCACCATTTTGTAAAGTTGCTTATCAACATATTCGAATTGTGTTGATTATTTGTTACAATGGACGTTAAGAATTTATAACATAATAATAGTAAATAATAAAATATTATAGTATCATGGTCACCAACTCTAGCCACTGTTTCTACTCATGCGCAAAAATGCGAGGTCCTCGTTTGTTACGTCTTCAGTGCGTCTACGTCTACAGTCCGTCAAACTATAAATCCAGCTTTAGTTTGTTTACCATTGCCAACTGTGCCACTCTTATACCGTTGTTGCTGGTAATATCTTTTCCCAGCTTCGCGTTCATATCACCCAGGACTATAACTGCATCTCTCTTCTGTGCGTTTTCATATTCTACTTGTAGTTGGTCATAGAATTGATCGGTTACTAGTTTATCTGCTGCTTCTGTTGCGGTATGCATATTAATAATTTTAATATTATGAAATTTTCCCCTTAGAACGTAGGTTCAAACAATACTTGAATTAAATTTTAAAATGTGGAGAAACTTTAAAATTTGTAATCACACTTTGACAGTTATTTGACAAATATACTAACAATTATGTATTAGCAAAATTTTGAAATTAAAAAAAAAATAATTTAGGCGTTAATGAGTTAGTTGAGTAAATTTTGTTAATTAAGAATTGTAGCAAATTTTAAAATATTTGCTAACAATGAGCGATTTTTTTAGGGACATAGAAACCAGTGCAAAATTAAACTTGGTGGACCTAGCGGGATGTGAAAGTGTCAAAAAAACTGGAACTTACGGCAGTTCTTTCCAAGAAGGGGTCAATATCAATAGAGGCCTTCTGTCGATAGGTCAAGTAATGACAGCGCTGTCAAACAATTCTACGTTTATTCCTTACAGACAGTCTATAATTACTTCAATATTGAAGGACTCCTTGAACAAAAACAACTTCGTCTCACTAATAGCTTGTGTTAGTCCTCTTACAGAAGACACTACTGAAACAGTACAGACCTTGGAATTTGCGCAAAGAGTAAAGAGAATTAGGAGTAGACCAGAAGTTAATGAAGTCATATCCCAATACAAAAAGGAAAATCCCTTAATGTTCCAAATGAAAATGAACACTCCCTTTAAGAGGCCATTATTTATGAACACTCCTAGACCACCTAAACAACAAAAACTGTCAACTATAAATGAACCTTCGTACTCCTCAATTATAACAGACCAAAGTCAAAGTCCTAAATCATTATCGTCTAGTGTGGCATCTTCAATAACAAACACTGTAAGATCGTCCCTGGACTCAATTTCTGCTCCACAGGCTCTAAGTCCTATTATTAGGAAATATATGAACGCAATGGAATCCTCATTGATGGATAAAATAGGAAATGTTATTCAAAGTACTTTAAAGACAGAATCTAGAGAACAGGTCATGGAAAAAGAAAATGATAGAACACCAGGAGTAACGTGGGCTTTAATTAAAAATGAGGTATCAAAGATTGTCAAGTCAGAGGTAGCTCAGTTAACTGGTAATGGAGTTAGAGCTACGAGCAGTCCCCTTGGAGAGCATTTGGATGATGTAAGAAAAGTTTTAAATTATGACATTAGTCCATTAGCTAGTACGGAAGGTATTACCACAGAGTATGAATTTAAAGTACCTGAATTACCGGTTGAAAAGAAGAGCACCCCTTTCGCTTTGTCCCCAATTGAAAACATCATACCGAGACGAAGTATGCGTCTGTCCATGAAAAGAAGATCTAAATGCAGTATAAATAATAATCAAAATAGTGTAGGTGATTTAGAATTGTCGATCGAATCATCACTTACATTCAGAGAAGATATTAAGCTACTTGAACAAACTTTAATAGATAACATTGAAAATTCCGAAGAATGCAGTAAATGGAAACCAGCAGTTGTACCTAGGAGAAGTATGAGGATACAAAAATCTGACAAACCGTTACAAAATAAAGTACAGGGAAAGATCGAAAAAGGGATTAAATGTGTTGAGTACTCCTGTAGGAAAAAGGCTTTTGAAAACAACACAACAGTAAGTATTTTAGAAACATTTCTTTAGTTTTGCCTTTTTTTTTAATATACAGGTTCAGAAAAAATGTTTTAGGTAGGTAAGCGTTTTCAACGATAGGAAGTGAAAAAAACATTTAAGGGGACATTCTCATGCGAAACTTTCAAAAAATCAATTTTTTTACATAAATCGCTTTCATTTACATTCAAAAACTCCCTCCTAAAATTTCAAAAAGAAATTCCCACTAGAATATAAGTTATAGTTATTTTATTAACGTCATCTACGCACGTATGAAAACCGGTTTCTCTCCGCGCGGCGAGCGTGAGGCAACAGCTGTTCTTGCTTTTGTATATATGTTGTATATACGTTGGGTATGTATTAGTGATTCATTTTTATATAGTATGTATATCTGTATAACGTTTGGCAGTTACTATACACATTTGGAATTTTAAATCCGGAACATAGGATTTTTTACAAATACTAAGATTCTCTGCGTTGCAATTAACCAGTGTAAATTTCTTTATAACGTCGCGATGTTTTATAACTAATTTATTTGTTCCACTGGATTACTTTTCCTCAGCGGTTTGTAGTAGCGTATACGGCACGCCGACAGTGTTGCTCCGTCTACCGATTTTTCCTGAAAGTCCGGTTTTGTGCAGATAATAAATAATGTTTTATTAACATCAATTTTGTTTGTGTTCATTAGATATTATTTGAGTTATAAAATTTATACTTAAATACATTTATTATTCCAAATATTGTTTATAATTTCAAATTAAAAAGAGTGTAATATAATTATTTTATTTTTAAAATTCCTTTTTATTTTTAATTTTAGAAATCAACTTTTTTCTCAAGCCGTTTTGGCAATAAAACATAACCATTTTTTTAGTTATAAAATATTTTCATATCTACATTTATAAATAAGTACGTTTTCGTTGAATTGACATGCGATCTAGGTGTGTTCCGTTTTTACACTTACACTGGCAGCATCGCGGCGTGAATTGAGACTCCAGTCGAACAAATGAATTAATTATAAAACATCGCGACGTTGCGTTGTATTGAAATTTACAGCTTTACAAAGCCATTTACAACAACTGTTGGATAAAGAGGATCCTCAATATTCACCAGGAATGGCCGACTAAACGTGAGTATAAAGTTATCAGCCTTTTATTCACGAAAATTATGAAAAAAAACTTTAAATGCTTTTCTCTTAAAAGTAACATTTTCAAACTGGTCAGACACTTTTCTCCGAATCTTCTTAACCGATTTTAAAAAACCAAAAATTTTTTGAATGTATATACAAAATACTAGATGATAAACCTTTAAAATATTTAAAAACCACCCCCGTTTTATTATATATGGGTAAATCCACCGAAAAATATAGCGATTTTTTCGACTTTTTTGAAAAAATTCGTATAAACTCTTCAAAATAATACAATTTGCATATTTTAAAGGTTTATCATCTAGTTTTGAGTCTCACGAATACAACCCATTTTGAATTTTTTGAATATCTGTTACAGGTGACCCACAAAGTGTCTTACCACCAAAAACGCACTTTTTACTACACGCCATCTACAGGACACCAATGAAGTTAAAATCGCTATTAAAAATTTCTTTTATGTCCTTCAAGACTTACTTAATCATCTACAAAAGAAAATATGTTAATAAATATTATAGTTTTTTTTTTCTGCTTTAATTTTAAAATGTGTCTTTTTTTTAATCGCATGAGACTGTCCCCTTAAAACATTTTTAAAAATCTAATAGACAACAGAAGAACTCATTTTTTTCCAGTTTCTCTCCTACTAAGTGATGTAGTGCCAATAAGTCCCCCATTTTAAATTTAATGCCTGTTTTCTCCTTTTAATTGTGTTCTGTTTGTCCCTAAGTGTCCTTAATTGTTTTAGTTTTAATAATTTTAACATATCTGACATTCCAATTATCTGCCAAAAAACAGTAATCTAGTCGAACTTTATCAAAGAAATTTGATAAACATCTAATTTCATTAATTGTCATACAACTATCACCTTAATAAACAATTTCAATAAATTAACACACATTTCGAAAATATATCTCTTGAATAAATATAAATAACTTTTAAAGAACTAAATAATACAGAACATCACTTTGTATCTTATCTTATCTCATCTTGTCCACTGTAACTTGTAAACTAAGGATACGATTGAGCTCAAATTTTTATAGCTTTTGAAAGTTGCTATGTACTTATCATGCGGATTGGTTATGACTGACGACATCTGTTTGTCAGGTCCGGAACTTATTGATTGATTCAGCACAATAATAATTTATCCAGGTGTTGATATAAAAGACTGTCCTAATTAACCATACTTTTGTTTTATCGTTTAGGAAGGATAGTCCCCATACGTCACATACCAAAGCCGTGTTACATACTATAAATTATGGAAGTAGTAGAGAAATTGGAAAGCTACAATCTGTAGGACCAAAGACAGCACAACATATTGCCCTTTTCAGGTAAGCTCTACATCTCCTAAAACCAAAACTTGTTTGATATTATCTAGAATAAAGACCTGAGTCCCATTGTTTAACCAATCTTTAAATCCCTTAATCATAGAATACGCTACTGGATAAAATTAAAGCACCACATTATAGTTTTGAGCGGCTTCATATCAAAGACAGACATGTATCATGCAACAAAAATTGAAATAAGTTGGTTTTTTTTGTACACAGCTGCTATTATTCTTTTTATAAAAATCTCACTTCCTATAATTTTAGTGAAGACTTCAAAAGTAATCTTGTGGACATTCTGATATCAGAAATATATGAAATTATTATAAAATTATTCTTTGAAAATATAGATGTCCGCTTTTGGAACAAAAATGGGCAAATGTCCATGTTTGATCCAAAAGTGATGGTAAGTGTCCGTTTTTAATGCCAAAAAATTTGTATTTGAAAGAGTGAATCCTCGGTTTGGACCTAACTTAAAATTTAATGCTTATAACATTCTTATAGGGAATCAGGTATTTAAAATGAAAATTCCAATTTTAAAATCTTTTATTCAAGTTTCATTAGTACCTACCTACAAAGCAATTTAACTAAAAATATATAATATAAAATATTCGAGCTTATAAATTATTTAAACATTAGTAACATTCAAATTGAAATTAACACCAAATCACCATCAAAATCAGCAATATTATTTTCACACTCACATGAATCGTCACAATCAGCCGATATTTCAGGTTCTGCTTGCATTATGTTTTTGGACCACTGCAAAGTACCATTCTCTTTCCAATTTACTTCAAAATGTTTTTCAAGCAATTCTGCTAGGTCCTTAACCTTTTCTGCTTTTAGGGTCACACCAATACGAATTTCTTTTGGATTGATCTGTCCAATAGTGACGTTGGTCTTACAAATTTTCCTCTCTGAACCAGTGTCAAGGTTGTAAGCCATCTCTTCTTTCACAACGATGTTTCCCAATTTAGTTTTCCGAAGAACTATTCGTCGGCAGGTGGAAATTTTGAAATGAAGTTGAGCCGCTGTTTTCATAAAACTTTTCACTTCTTGTTTCTAGTCCAACGGTACTCAATCCCTTCCAATCAACTTAATTGTACCATATTTCTTAAACATTTCATGATTCTTCTTTTGTCACAATTGTGTTGATTTTTTTAATGTTTTCTCTATCATTCCAAATACTTTGTCGGCAGGAAGGAATGAGTGCCCTGTTACAGGAAATACTGTTTCAATTTTTCGTATGCTTGTTGGAGCACAGCTATACAGAAACTTGCAGCACATAGTTAAAATATTTATATTCTTATTTTGTCCAGCGCAACCAACAGACACCAAACGAATGGAGTCATATCCTGAGAGATCAGCTGATCTCAACTCATTGACTACAATGGAAGCAACCTCGTTGGATAATTTGTTTGCTTCGTCTTGGTATAAATCCGTATTATACCGTCCAGGTATAAATTGAGATAGTAGTGGGATTCAGGGTTTCGTTTGACAATCTTTTAACTACTGAAAGGTTATAACAGTGAAACTGTCGTGAATAGTACGCAGTTTGATCAGTTATTTTTGGCAAAAGAAGGTTCTTCTGACAATCAAAACTCTAAATAAAACATCCTTGTGGTTTTTCTCGCAGGTGTTGGAGCTTGGGCCTGTTTCTTGTGTAACTCCATTTTCATTTTTAGGCACCTTTTTTTTCTTCCCCCGTTTTTTTCCACTTGGATAAAGTTTTGTAATTCTAGGCAAGTACTACATTCATCCATGCTAGAGTAAGAGAATCCAATGTTGAAATCTGAGCAAAATATTTTCCTGAAAAATCCCTGAGTAATCTTCTCAGATTCTTCTTTGTCATAATTGAACATTTTCCACATTTTGGAGATATTTAGGTCTGATGGTAGGTAGACACGTGATGAGTGATGTCATGAATCTCTATCTAATTAGCCTTCTTCGGTCCATCTTTGGACATAGGCCTCCCCAATCCTTTTCCATTCTTCTCTGTTTGTCGTTACAGTGAAGAATGAACGCTACATGAATAATGCGATTTAATAGCTTAAAAACTACAGATGAACTTTTTTACTTCTCTTTTCGGATCAAACTTAACTTCCTTGTGATTTCCGCCTCGGATTTCCACTGAGACATGAAATACACCGTTCTTGAATTTTCGGAACACTCCTATAATTCTACGCTCAGTAATAAACTGCAACACCTTGAGAAAAGCATCCCTGCAAACGTTGAGATTGTTGCCAGCGTGGTTTACAACCGAATATTGGAAAATAGACCTTTGACTGAGTACCTTCATGAACATACAAAAGAAGGAATTAATTAAACTTTAGTTAATTCAATGAATAGTCTATTCATTCAAGTCACAATAGTCAGAGTTTTCATTAGGAAGCTCTCAATGTTATGAAAAACTTTAGCAAGTTACTAAGCAAGGTACTAAGCTGGTCATGTTGTTACAGTCAACTTTCAAGCTTCATATTTTAAAATCAGACATTATCATATCACTTAAAAACTATTCATAACTCGGCTGAACATGTAAAGTAATATAATAACTTCTAACATATCAAACTTTCACCCACCTATTGACAATTTGTTACAGCAATTAAATGTTAAGTTCATGCTTGAGTTTAATGATAATACTTACCTTAGTCATTCCTGGATGTTTTTTTTTCAATAATATGACAATATATAACATCAGACAAGTTGAAAGCAATGGCGATCATTGTTGATTTCTCAGTCATGTGATCGTCGGACAATTTTCAATCAAAGGTGACTAATCTACAAATTGAACTAAACGGTAGCGGCAACCATGAAAAATTTCATTAGTAAATTCTTACCGGGGTCATTTTTATTGTGTATGCTTCGCCCATGTAAATATGTAAATTTGTAACCCATGTAAGATAAATTTGCCCCCGTAACAATATAAATTGGTGCGATTCACGAGTGTATAGTGAGACACGTTCATAGAATAGTTTGGAACATCGGTAAAATTATCAATATTTTGCTGGTCTATATATATTTACGTTTTTAGAAAGAATGTTAATTAGAGAAATATGATATCTTAGTTTATTGAAGTTGATGAAATATGATATCTTCCAGATTTTATTCATTTGTGCATAGGCGTAGTGTATTATTCAAAATATATTTATTGAATATACTTTATTATTAACTTTAAAATAGTTGTGAGGTAAGTAAAGTAAATTTGATTCCAATTTATTCTTTATATAGCATTAAACCGTTAACGGCCGCTCAATATACAAAGAGAAATTAGACAATTAATTTATTAGATTGGATTAAAAACACAACTTAGGAATAAATTACAACCAAAAAGATTTTTTTTTCATTTTTAAGAAAAACAGTACAATTTTTAATGAATGAACATATTGTATCTTAAACGTAAATTAAATTTTAAGGTAAAAATTTTCGAAATATTCGGGTGTAGATGCATTCTACACTTTTTACATAAATAAATAGTATTACTTTTGTACATCCTACATTTTTGCACTATCGTCTCTTTTTATAACGTGGCCAATATTGTCGAATCTGGTTTCATCTGGTAAAGCAAATTTAGATTAACGCCCATGTACTGACACAGATGTAGCAGTTTCTTCACCATTATAAATTAAAATTTTAAATCTATGTCGGCTCATGCTTTCTCTCATAATATGCACTTCTTTATCCTCATCCATTGACCAATGCATATCAACTTGAAGCAGAGTGTAAATCAGATAATATACATATGCTAATAATTTTTTTAAATCTATGTTATTTATTTCAAAACTGTGACGGTTATTCTCAATTACTTTTTTATCAAAAAGAGTGAAAAAACTTCAATATATGACTTGCCTACATGGTTGCCTTTTATATTGTCTAAATATCAATCAGACTGATGTTGAATTACTACTGAGCACGAAAGAATATCCGTTATTACAACTTGAGATAAATTTGGATTTACTATTTTTGCCTGGTTTTTTCTTTAGAAGTTTTATCTGTGGTTCAGAGGAATATCATAATCAGAATCGTTAGAATTCCCAATCTTGTATTTCATATGTACCTGCAATATCCGATTTTATTGATTCTTCACAAATAATATTATCATCAATCTCTTCAAGGAATACAATAATATATCAGCAAACGAATGGGAAAGATATCTGACGGAACTGATTAAAGCAAAGGAAAATAATAATCAACACAATAACGTACCTGAACTAAGAAACGAAATAGAAATCAGTTTTCACGAAGTAAAAATAGTCATAATTTCACTCAAAAATAGAAAGTCATCAAGACCAGACGGAATAACCAACGAGCTTCTAAAATACGGATGAGAAAGTTTAATCCTAGAGATGACAAAACTTATACAAAAACTAATATTGCACTGCAAGATACCAAACGCATGGAGAAACAGCGTAATGATACCAATGGTCAATAAAGGACATAAAGAAGACCCCAACAATTATAGAGGTATAAATCTACTGAACACCGGACTTAAGCTTACCACAAAAGTCCTAAACAACAAAATCAATAAACAACTTTATCAGATGAACAACAAGTATTCAGATCCGGATTATACTGCGTAGACGCCGTATTTGTACTAAGACAAATCACAGAAAAGGCCATCATATCTATGTTTTATAGACCTGACAAAGGCTTTCGATCGCATCCAAGTGGAAGACGTCTTAAACCTACTGCATAAAAGGAACATACCAATCAATATTATACAAACCATCGAAAGCATCTACCTCCATAATCGAATACAGGTAAAGATAAATGGAAAACGAACACAGGGTATACCAGTACAAAGCGGAGTCAGACAGGGTAACTCGTTAAGCTCTCTTCTCTTTAATATATTAATAGACGAAATAATACAAGCAGTACGTAAAAGTCATGGCTACAGAAGTGGGAACAAAGAAATTCCAAATATATTATGTTATGCAGACGACGCCGCATTAATCGCCAAGACAGAAGACGAGCTTTAAAGATTAACACATATCTTCAATACAACAGCTAAGAAATACAATATGATAATATCAGCGTAAAAATACAAAAGTATGACATTTAAATACCCACTACGGTGTAAAATCGAAATTGATGGGAAATAATAAAGCCGGAGCAAGGGTTAGATATCTGAAAAGACTAACTTACGGAGATGTTGAAGATGAAGTACGACAGCAAAGCTTAAAAGCAAGTAAAGCGGCGGGTTCTCTTAATGACACAATCTGGAAGAACAAACACCTAAGACAAGACACAAAAACAAGAGTCGTATAAAGCAGGAATTAGACCTATATTAACATAGAAGGAAGAAGAAGATCAATGTCTTCTACATCAGAAACTTTCTAATCTAATGTCGGCGGCAAATAAACCACATTACGTGGCATTTTCACAATCTTAGTCTTCTTCTAACAAAGCTATTAACTCTTTAGTAGTTAGTGCCATCTTCATTTCATATTTCGAGAATTTACTAAAATAAACAAATGCACTGCTATATAAACGCATTCATATGATAATAGTTTAGCTTACTTCATTTTAATTTATATGAACTTCATAATATATTTTCATATTTATATAAACAAATAAACACAAGCAAACTTTCAAATTAAGTTAAAAAAATAACGTTAAAAATAAACAAATATAACGTTTTTCTACTCTCTTACTAGTAAATTGTATATTACCTACTATTTGGATGCTAAGTAAATGCATCATAACAGATACTGACACGTAATGACTAGCACGTAATAAAAAAAATTACGCTTCAGTTTTATAAAAATGTGTAATATCACGTAAGCCTCGTAAGTCAGTTGGTCGAGTTACCATGGAAACGAATTAACGTTTCCATGGTAACGTTATTTTGACAGATTAAAAATAATTAAACTGTCAGTGTAAATATAGTTGTAATTTAATTTTTATTTTTATAAACGAAAATAATGGTAGAAAAAGTATAGTACACAACTTGAGTTGTAAGATTATTACATGCTTGTAAAATTACTGCGCTCGCCGCTACGCGGCTCGCGCGCAACTTTTTTACTCGCATGTAATAAGCTTCTTACAACTCTCGTTATGTAATATACTATTACAGCACACAGCAATTTTATAAATAGAGAATGATGTGTAATGATGTGTAATTAAAATTGCAGATTGTTTTTAGTCTAATGAAAAAAAAATTATTTTCCAAAGTTTTCTGTTTTTTGAAGTTCTGTATTAGATACTCTCTAATAAGAATAAAATTTCATTTTATTTTGTTAGACAACTATAAGATACCTGTTAAAAGAGACATGATAATTTAATAATTAAATCGGTCTTAGATTTAATTTTTACGTAATTACTTATGTGTTTAAATAAATAATTAAAATTTTTTTTAGGTACGCCTCTGCAAAATTGATAATTTCAATACGATTTCGTTGAAAAGTTATCGTTAATGGCTTCGTTAAGTACGATGTTGCCAAGTAATCACCTTCAATTAAAAATTGTTTTAGTATAACTATATTTTTATTTTTTTTTTACAAATGTCCGTCTTTGATATAAAGCTACTCATTTGATCTACTTATATACTATATTCCACAAATTAAAACTGTAAAAATAATAATTAAAAGTAAAAGTGATGAGTTAATTTTTTTCAGGATTTTAATAAAAGAATATATTCAAGCTATGGTTTTAATAGTTTTTGCTATTGTTTATCATTTGTTTATTTTTTTAGGGATATCAAAGGTAAATTGAGTACGCTGTCCGATTTAAAGCAAATTCCTGGATGGGGAACGAAAAAATTTGACAGATTTGTTGAACAGAATTTATTGAAAGAGGAGTTACTTTAACCTTAGTTCATTAATATGTAGAATTAATATGTGTCTTTCTTATGATTGGAATTGCAGAGCTGTCATTTATTTTAGAGATTTTAATAATGTAAAAGAGAAGCGTAGCAAGTCGCGGCCTTAGCGCGAGGATTCTGAACTGACGCAAGCTATAATTTTAACTGACAGCTCTTTGTATTTAGAGAATATTTATTTTGACCGTGGAGCCAAAGTTTTACGTACATTTATTGAATTTATATTTACAAAGGTCTTTTAATTAAGGCTAATATTTTATTTTAAGATGTATATTGAACAAATGCAGAAATATATTTTATAACAGGAATCTAAACCTTTTTTATCCTTATTAACACTTAGATGTTAATGTTTTCTCAACAAAGAACATAATTCAGTGAACAGAGTGGATGTGCCTTCACTGCTCTCTCAACTGGATGAGGGAACATTTGAAGATAAAACATTTAAATGTTGTATTACTAAGCCAAATAAAACGATAGTATGTGTGGTGTGCGGAAATAGTTATCATATTTCCTGTGCCAATTAATAGTTGTCATATTAAAAGCAAGTTAAAATGTTCTAAAATATGTGACACGCGTTGGTGTGTTGTGAAAAACAATCTGATGTTACTGAACCCATGAATCTATTGCAGTTAGAAAATAAAATGCTAAGGCACTTATTGGAGGAAAAAGAAGATAAGTATAAATTACTGTTAAACAATAATGAACTTTTAAAATCTAATAACTACACTCACCGGCAAAATTAACGGAACACCTTAAAAATGGGACATGTTAGATGTCTCGAATTTCCTAAACCTGTTGTCCGATTTGAGTGATTTTTTTTTGATGTTATAGTTATATTATTTAAGAATATCGATGTAATAATATTGTTACTAGACAGGCCAATGTCATTTTATACCGGGTGTAACAATCATACTGTGTTTTTTCCTTGAAGTTCGGAATACCCTGTGGAATATTCTAGTATATATAAAATATTGAAATTAAAACTCAATTATAGCCTCAGGCTTTCTTAACATTTTCTTTTTTGATTCATTTGCTTATGTTGGATAATAAAAAAGTTAGGTACGTTAACAACTAGCCATGTTTTTCATTAATAAATCCTCATTTCAGCAGTAAGAGTGTAAATCACTTTTTCAGAACAAATTTGCCGGTTCCTAACGCCGACACTCGCCTGCATCTTTTCTATTCAAAGATTCCTACAAACCTCCACTGTAACTACACATTTAACTGCTACATACTACCAAACTTCATTATTTCCGATTACAAAAAAAAACAATAAGGAAAAACAATTTCGAATTAGATGAAAATTCGAACCACACTGAAGCCAACTGCCTCTGACAGCGCCAGCGGCTCTACTGAGAGTGATGTAATCTCTTCAAAAATCATTCGCCCAACTTCGGTATAAACAAAACATATAAACGGGAATATTTATTTAAGGCGCAATATTAAGCGGCTTAACGATCAAAAGAAATACGCATCTGTGATATATAAACAAACTTTAAAATGTGTTTATTATCGACTCCAACGATGCAAAAGAATTGAAAATACTTTTTCGATGTTTTAATACATACGGGGTGATTTCAATACATACGAAAAAATTATAAACATGCTACAATATATATATATATATATATATATATATATATATATATATATAATATATATATATATATAAATTAAGTTAATGCGAGTGAATAATTAAGGTAAAATGTAATGTCTCTTAAACAGGACAATATCAAAAATAGATATATCGATGGAAGGCAACCGTAAATACGTATTTCTGACTATTTGATCGTCATCAGTACTGTGCATCATCACTTCTATATTACTATTGTGAATTAGTATTATTTCCTAACTGTTTGTGATTTTCCTAACAGATTTTTATAAGAGGTACAAAGAAAAACTGATAATATATAACATAATATTTTATTAAATTAATTAGATGTCCAAATTGTAGGAAATTGTTTAAGCCTTTTAGACCACTTTTTTTCTAGATTCGTACATTCCTCCTTGAGTTTTTCACTTAGTGTCGAATTTAAATCTGTACTTACTCTTTTTGTATTGATTTTAATTTCTAGATCATCTGCCAATCTGAAAACACCAATAAACTAGTTTAGAAAATTAAGGACATATCTACAAAAAAATTAGTCGAGTGGTGAATAATTTAGTAACTAAAAGGGTCGCGCCGCTGCTCTCTGGTTCACCAGCTTAACAAAACCGAACTTGCTTTAGTCGAGTTCATTAGAAGAGTCATTTGAAAGAGTTATTTTAAAAAGTACTAGTTTCAGGTAGATACCTGTACTGTAACAGATCGGGAAATATTACTCGTATCTCAGTATTAAAGAGCATAACATATCAAGAAGCGTACATTAGCGATAGAGCAAAATGGAAGTAATAGAAAAAATCGAAAGAAGTGTTGAAGCTATTTTTGAAGCGATCCTTCTATACTTTCTGGTTTTGAAGCATGTGGCATTGCACCATTCAACGCTAATCGAGTTTTAGAAAAGTTAGATGCTATCTTACTGACTTTTTGAAAGACTTGAGGTACAGTAGAGTTGAAAAATCTCGTTTTGGAAAAGGTATATGCTCTCTTACTAACTTTTTGAAAGACTTGAGGTACAGTACAGTTGAAAATCTCGACGTAAAAGAAAACTGTCAACCGCTGAACCAGGTCAAAGTGTTACAGCACTTAAACCATCTGAAGAGTTCAATGACGATGATGTAAATGAAAATCTTTAATTAGATGACAGCAACAATGATGTTTAATATTAACAGAGATGAAGACGAGGTTGAATACTTTTGTCCTACATTAGAAAACATCACGAAGGGAAAATTCCTGCTGGTGAAATTTCTGTCTGATATTCGGAAAAGATGGAATTTCGATATGTCTATAAGGTAAAATAAGTTTTAGAAGGAGAAGAAATCGAAGTCCAAGGCCTTAAATCAGCAAGGTCGGGAAAGATTTTCAAAATAATTGAAAGTTACATATCCACTGTTTCCTTCAAGGAAATAGTTGCTTTATTACCAGATCCAATACTTAAGACGGTTTCTAATAGGATACAAAAATATTATTTTCGCAGAGAAATATAGAGAGAGAATATATAGAGAAATAGCGCAGTGAGCGCTATTACACTTCCTTACCCTACAGCATTGATTATAAACCACTACCTAGATACCTCACTCTAAGGTAAAAACGAATTCAGTGTTAAACTCCGCCCACTTTCCGCGACATTCATTGAAATCTTTGCCAAGATTGAAAAATAAATTTGAGTTCCCTGGTCCGGCAATTCTCTAGTGAATTAGAGGACGATATAAGGATGGCATTCAGCATTTTTCACAAATAATTTTAACGTGATTGTAATCTATATTATGAAATTAAGATTTTACTTCAGAAAAAAACGCTAAAAATTGATTAATGAAAACAGTAAAGGTTTTCTAAAAATTATTTATTTATCAACACAATACAAAAAATAACAAAATATAAAATACATAATAAAATTAGCAGTGATAAGTTACATCTCATATAAATTACTTTTTCGTAACTTTTCAAACAAATTAATTTCCAGAATTGATGCAAACTAAATTTACTATATTTCAAGCTAATATACAGAATTTATTTCCAGATTTAGTCCATTCACTCACGGTAAAATATTGCAAAACCTCATAAGTTTAAAGAATCGCTTGGATTGACATGAAATTTGGCTTACGCCTAGCTAAGATGTCAAAGGAAAAAACATTATCCTTTTCCCCTTGGATCAGTATCACCCCTTATCGGGAGTGAAAAAATATATGTTCAAGATAAGTTCGGAAGTGCCTAAAATCAGTAATTCTAAGCAACTTTGGTTTTATAGAGGTTTTTCACTCATGTGAAAAACTTTTTCGAGTTATTAAAAAATAGGTTCTTATTCGTCAAATTCCATGTTGAATATTTCAACGTGAAATAATAAAAAACTGAAGCACTTTTCGACGAAAATTCATTACAACTTTTTTTAAAGTGTTTTAAAAAGGTTTATTTTTGTTAAGTTTCTTGCATCAAGAGTAAGCAAGTTATGACCAAAATATTCAGAAAAGCAAAACCTACATTTTTTTACTCTTTGTGATTTTTGGGTGTCACTAATAAATTTTAAGTTATTTTGAAAAAAAGCATTTTTTTTTACAGGCCGTTTTATCTAAAATGTGAGTCCTTTTTTTTTATAAAATTTCGCTATAACTTGTCACAACACTTCACACAGATAATACACTTATAGGGTAAGTTCGGCGCTGACACCACTCCTATCTCCTCGCAAGTCAGAGAGAGAATGAGAATCTCGATAAGGTTTTCGAGTAACGCCATCTAGTTTTTGATACGTCTTTCGGTTACCACGAGGTGAGCTATCTAGGTAGTGGTTTATAATCAATGCCTACAGGTAGCGACTTTTCATGAAATAACAGATTATCAATCACCAATGTTGTAACACGGTATTTACAGAGCCAAACACAAAATTTATAAAGAGACTAATGTTTATGTATATACGATAGTGGAGTATGATACAAAAAAATTTTAAAATAGGATCACAATTATTCTACATTGTCACTGGATAAATACACCATATTATGCCTAGTTTGTTGTACTTACGATTTAAGTTTGGTTTTGTTGTGTTTTACATAAACGATGACCGGAACTATTCTGACTATTTCTTCCTTTTGATCGTATGAAGTACTATTTTTCTGAGAACCCTTTTCTTTTTTGATCGGCAGAATTGAACTGCTAGAGCACAAAGACAAAAATAAGTGTATTTATTATTAAAATTGATACACTAAATTACAAATATATAAAAATCTGATGGCCATAAGATGAACGAAAATTCTACTAACCTTGACCGCTAGATACGTAAGGTCCCGAATTCTTAACCTTTTTCGTTAAAGATCGGAAGCAAAGTCGTACCTTGTCGGTTAAAATCTACTCATTGGAGCATGCCCATTTGGATATATGAACGATTGTGTGCGTGGAAATAAAATCATATTATATCGCCCTTTTGAATGAAATGCGACCAATAAGCACATATGTAATGTTATTCTGCGTCATTTTAAGGAAATATAATTATTAAAGATCTAAAACTTATTCTACCCGAAATAAATTAAATATTATAATAATATTCAATATAAAATAAAGAAATAAGGATTCCCGAACATTTGTAGTTTGCTGTCCGATATTGAAAAAGTTATTTTTTACTCGGACACAGGCGAAGGACAAAATAAAAATAGCCACGTAGCTTTTTATGTTTACTTACGTCATGAAGCAGTGTCAGAGTTTGGAGGAAATTAACCAT